TACCTGGGCAGGTCTCGAACCTGTGGGCTCAGGCAACTCACTCGCCTCAACCTCCCAAAGTGCTGGGATTATAGGCTGAGCCACCGAGCCCAGCCTTGTCTTTAGTTTTTACAAATTTAATTATACCATCTTGTCATAGTTTTCTTTCGTTTATCCCATTTGGGTTCACTCAGCTTCTTGAATATGTAGGTTATGTCTTCTGCTAATTTGGGAAGTTTTTAGTCATTATTTATTCAAATATTTGTTCAGTCTCACTTTTGTGTTTTCTCTCCGTTTGGGATGCTGATAATATGAAATTTAGCTGTTATAGTTCCACAGATTCTCGAGGGTATTTTTAAAAATTCACTCTCTGTTGTTCAGAATAGATATATTCTATTGATATTTTCCTAAGTTTGTCAATTCTATCCTCTGCTATCTCCACCCTACTACTGAGCCCATTCATCAAGATTTTAATTTCAGTTTTTACATTTTTCAACTCTATATTTTCATTTGGCTTTTAAAAATACCATCTATTTCTTTGCTGAGATATTCTACCTTTTCATTTGTTTCAAGAGGATACACACTTGCTCGTGGAAAGCTTTTCTGACGGTTGTCAAATAATCCTTGTAGAATCTGCGTCAGAGGATCCTAACTCTGCTTCAGTTTAGTGTTGGCATCTGTCGATAGTCTTTTCTCATTCATGTTGTAATTTTCTGTAATAATGATTTTGTATTATACTGCGACATTGTGGATATTATATTTTGAGACTCCAGGGTAAGGGGCAAAAGGCTGACTCACACTGCCTTGTGTTTAAACTCAAACACAAGGGGCTGCATGAGTATGGAGTAAGAAAGTAAGCCTCTGGTGAAACTGGCCCAAATGGGGCCAGTCTGCAACATTTTAACTAAAATACACCACAGTTCTAACAAGAGAGTAGACAAGACAAGATCTTTTGAAGTTTTTTTGAATCTATCTGCAGTCATTGGTTTTAGTATTTATGAATTTACATATTTATTTTTTATTTTTGAGTCGAGGTCTCACTCTGTTGCCCAGGCTGGTGTGCAGTGGCATAATCACAGTTCCTGCAGTCTCGACCTCCTGGACTCAGGTGATCTTTCTGCCTCAGCCTCCCAATTAGCTGGGACTCTAGGTGCATGTCACCACACCTAGCTCAGCTCTTCCCTGGCCCCATTGACGCCAGAAGAGAGGAAGGGAGAAAGCAGAGTGCCACCTGTTCTTACCTCCTTCCCCCGTTTCACCAGGTGTTAGGTGAGGCTCAACTCCACCTTGGGCCTGACTGATACCAGTGGGGGCAGGAGGGACACTCTGCTTCACCTGCCTTGTTTGGTTTTGTTGGTGTGAATGACGGTGGAAGCTTCTCACTGGGCCTTATCAGTACTTGCAATGGACAGCCTGGCTTGCACTGCCTCGTTGCTGTTAGGTCTCATTGCTTCTTGGTGAAAGTGGAGTCTCAGCTCACTACAGGACCCTGAGGGCACTGGTTGGAACCGACTGAGTCTCTGTTGGTGGCAGAAGGCAGATCCATTCCCTGCTTTCTCCCACTGAAACTAGGGGAGCAATGATGTGTTTTTCTGTTGGTGTATGGTTGGAGTTGGGCAGATATTGCCAGAAAAGTTTTCTGTGGTTAGGCCACCCCTTTTTCCTGTTTCTTTGGCTAGAGGGAATAGGTTTTTCCTAGAGCTCTTTCTCATCTGTGCCTGTTGTCAGTCCCAGGTTGGAAGCTGCTGCTGTCTTATTTGGGATATGTGGGAGGTGATAAGAAAACTCCCAGAACGCACCACCATGCTGTTTCTCAAGGCCTCTTTCTCCTACCTCTAAAGTCTTCCTCTGCTTGCTGTTATAGCCAAGGAGTTTTAGTTGAAAGAGGAAGGACCTGGAATCAAAGGGCTCCTCCCACACCTTACTTTAAACAAGGGGCTGTGAGAGGGCAGTAAGAAAATAAGCCTCTGGTGAAACTGGCCCAAATGGGGCCAGTTTAGTTCTTTTTTCTTTCTTTTTAATTTTTATTATAAAGATGCGGGGTACATTTCAGGGTTAGGTATATAAACATTGATCATGCAGGTACCCTTGTTGATAAGATATGCCCCTCCTTCCCCTAGCAGTTTCCCTCAACTGCCAATCCCACCCCCGCTCCCCTGATAGTTTCCCACTACTGCCATCATCAGAAATGCAAATCAAAATCACATTGAGATACTACCTAACCCCTGTAAGAATGGTCATCATTAATAAAACAACAACAGATGCTGGCGAGGAATGCTTCTACATTGCCGATAGGAATGCAAACTAGTGCAACCTCTTTGGAAGACAGTGTGGCGATTTCTGAAAGAACTAGAAATTGACCTTCCATATGACCCAGCAATTCCCCTATTGGGAATATACCCGGAGGAACTCAACTCATTCTACAAAAAAGATACCTGCACACATATGTTTGTTGCAGCTCTATTCTCAATAGCAAAAACGTGGAACCAACTATGTTGCCCATTGAAGCTGGACTGGATAAAAATTGTGGTACATATGCACAATGGAATATTATGCAGCCATAAAGAAGGACAAATATATGGACTTTGCAGCAACTTGGATGGATTTGGAGTCGATCATACTCAGTGATTTATCACAGAAACAAATTTACCACAATTCTAATGAGAGTAGATAGGACAAGATCTTTTGAAGTTTATTTGACTCTATCTGCAGTTGTTGGTTTTAGTATTTATGTATTTATGAATTTACATATTTATTTTTTATTTTTGAGTCAAAGTCTCACTCTGTTGTCCAGGCTGGTGTGCAGTGGCACAATCACAGCTCCTGCAGTCTCGACCTCCTGGACTCAGGTGATCTTTCTGCCTCAGCCTCCCAATTAGCTGGGACTCTAGGTACATGTCACCACACCTAGTTAATTTTTCTATTTTTTTTATAGAGTTGCCCAGGTTGGTCTCAAAATTCCTGGGCTCAAGCAATCCTCCCACCTTGGCCTCCCAAATTGCTGGGATTATAGGCATGAATCACTGCACTCAGCCTTAACTAGAATTTTCATTGAGATAATTGTAGATTCACATGCAGTTGGAAGAAATAATACAGAGAGATTCTTTGCAGTTCTTCCCAGTTTTCTCTGATGGTAACATTTTGCAGAAATACAGTATAACTGGTATTAATACAATCTGCCTATCTTATGCAGATTTCTCAGTTTCATTTGTATTCATTTGTGCGTATGTATTGTTAAATGTAACCTGACAGGAGTTTGTTTATTCACCAGCACAGTCAAGATTCCAGCACAAGATCCAACACCATAAGGGTCCTTCACATTGTCCTTTTACAATCAACATCTGAAATCTGTCTTCCAGGCTGGGCTTGGTGGCTCAGCCTGTAATCCTGGCACTTTGGGAGGCCGAGGCAAGTGAATTGCCTGAGCCCGCAGGTTCAAGACCAGCCTGGGTAACTTGGCGAGACCTTGTCTTTACAATAAATCAAAAATTAGCTGGAAGTGGTAGCATGCACCTGTAGTTCTGGCTACTTGTAAGGCTAAGGTGGAAGGATTGCCTGAGCCCAGCAGGTCAACAGTAGGATGGCTGTGAGCATGCCACTACACTCCGGCCTGGGTGATGACTCCAACTCAAAAAAAAAAAAGAAATCTCTCTTCCAAATCCCCCCTCTCAACCTCTGGCAGTTAATGTAACTTCCATTAATAAAATGTCATTTCAAAAATGTTCTATAAATGGAATCACACAATATGTAAACTTTCACAATTAGCTCTTTTTGCTCAACAAGGCTACTACTTTTTTTTTTTTTTTTTTTTA